CTCATATAAAGCCTTCTTCTTTAATAAAAAGGGAAATATGCTAGATATACTTACTGGAACTGTGATATGATGATTAAAGCTTAAAATTTCTTCTTGACAGCATCCATGTATGTTTCGGCAATAAAGTTAATCGATAGGTTGTAGGTATTCCTATGGGTACCAATTGCGCCCTTTTATAGCAGACTTGTTCATGTAATATTGTGAATCACAGTTAATGGTCAAACCCAGTAAAGATCAGTCTAAATTACATTTAATTGATAAATTTATAAACACTTATCGTTACTTTGATGCTGTTTTTGCTTTAAATAATCAACAATTTTTCTGCGGAAATTTAACCAACGGAACTTACTTTAAATAAATCTAATAAGACAGCAATAATTGCCCTTTTCTAGATTTGGATATTTCAGTTTCACACGGGAATCTCTATACAAAAAAAATTACGACAAAAGAGTCGATTCTTCGTTCCCGATTGTTAATTTCTCTTTTAAAACAGTTATGTTCCTTTAGTTCCTACTGACGAGGTGTATATTTCACAAGTGGTAAGCTATGCATGAGTCTGTAGAAGGGTTTTGAGATTTCAATGAACGTAATTTATATATAACTGATAAATCATTAAATCAAATTAATTAAAACCTTTACTAAATTCTTTCATAGATACAAAGATTTGGTTTAGAAGTTTGGCTCTGTCTTGTAGAGTTCTTATCAAAAACGGGATACCACATCCTCATTTTTACGGTGATTTATTTATAAAGTTGTTTTTTTTAAGTATTCTTAAAGGTTATCAATTTAACACAGTAGTAAAATCTTTAAATATTGTTTTTATTGGTATTAACATTGATTTTGATTTTGAAAAAATTAAAACATAACTAAACATTTATTGCTATATATGTATTGTTATGAAAACTCATTATCCTACATTCTGTCGATACTGTTTACTTATTTTTTAGTACTGCACAAGGTCATACGTTTCTCATACTGTTTAAGGCGTCTTTACACTAAATCCGTTGGATGTGTCCTGATTGATACTTTAGTCTGGGAGAATATGATTTATTCATTAATTGTAATTGGATTGATCGAGTTTTCAGTCACTGCGAGTACTCTTATTTCGTGGCTTTGTGTCTATCATTTTATGTTAGTTTTTTTTAGCCTCGGACTGATCTTTTGAGTTAATAAGGTAGCTGGGGTGTCTTCCTCCATCTTGGATTTTGAAATATCAGATAATAATCGCTCTAGATCTTAAATGAAATGTGCAAATTTCGAGAGTAGTATGTTATTAATGTGTAAGACATAGATAATTAAGTTTTTTATCATATGTTTTAACCCAGATAAAGGAATTTTTTGAAATAGAATGTGTTATGAATTTACCTATTTTACTATGTAACAAGAAAACGAGGCCGGTGACCCCGTTTTTCCTTTTTCTTATCTGAAAGCATATTTTTAGAGATATCTTCTCATATTTTATCTTAAAATTCTATGGGTTAATTTTTTTTTATCACACAAAATTTGGTTTTCCATGCATAATCTATACAAATCGGACAATTTTGCACAACCTGTAGCGTAAAAAAAAGCCCGGTGACCCATATTTTATTATATTTTTAAAAAAAGTATGACATAAACTACATTTTGACAAATAATTAAAAAAATCTATGGATTTTAATATAGACCCCCAATTGTTACTGATTTTTACAGTTTGTTCTTATATTGTGCTGTTTCACCGCTGTCCCAGGTTAGGGGAGGGTTGAGCGCTCACAAACATGCTAAACCCCGCCACATTCTGTATGTGCCTAACGTCAGGAGCCTGTAGTTCAATGGTCGTCGTTGCTTAATGTCTGTTGTATTTGTTTTTCATAAATTGTTTTGTTATAAATTAGACCGTTAGTTTTCTCATTTGAATTGTTTCACATTTTTTATGTCGGGGCTTTTTAGAGGAGGGGGGGGGCTCTTTTTACAGCCGACTATACGGTATGGGGTTTTCTCGTTAGTGAAGGCCGAACGGTTGCCTATAATTGCTTACATTCACTACATTGTAACTCTCGTGGGTAGATATCTCATTAGCAATCATACTACATCTCATTTGTATATAAAATTATAATACAATCTGCGCATATACTTACTTGATCATGAGCACTGCTATTATTCTGTTATTTTGTGAACAAAGCACTTCAATTAATTTAAGTTGCGTCTACATTTTTTTACTTTATTTGAAGTGATAAAAGTGATTTGATTTTGATGATTTCTATTTTTTGTCATGTTATGATTGTTTTAGAAAATAAAATAGTACCAAGATTATGTGTTGTATGAGTCCTGGGACATAATATATTCCTTGGACATATTATATCATACTATTCCAAGATGAGTCTTATGAAATTGAAGTGTAATAAACGAATTCAAGCGATTACTTTAAAAAAGTAGAGGTTCAACTATTATGTTTTGTAATTATGTTAGACAAGTGAAGGTTTATGTCACGAATCTAACAATTTTATATGACAAAGCTGTCTGTAAACAACATAAAAAATAAATGTGAAATTCAATGACGAAATACAATGGAATCATACAAACTGAGCGCTGTCAAATTATTCAACTTGAATTGTTAATGAGTAAATTAAATATTTTGACAACGTTTTCATTTTAAAACTAATATTTTTCATAATTATTTTCGCCTGCGAAACTAATATTTTTTTATAATTAGTTTCGCCTCTTTATTAAAATATGGTCCGAGTAATTAATCATGGTTTATATAGGTTTATATAGGTGTATACGATCGCTGATAGAAATATACTGATTTAATCTTGACAGTGTTTTTCTACAATCACTAGGTATTGCTCATCACCTTCTATGCATTTACAATGCAGTCAGGTTTAACTTTTAAAGGAGTAACCCCATAACTGTCATGAAGGTACAGTAAGTGTAAAGTAATTTTGAGCATTACAATCACTTAGAAACGCGCGTACACAATTTCAATCCTTAGAGTTTATTAAGTCAATCTATGTAATATTAGGTTCTCGTCAATAGTAAGCAAAACCCTTATGTTTTTAAAATGTCATTATTAGAACGAAAACTTGACATGAAGATAGAATACAGATGTCGAATATCCTTTGTCAGGTAAAAAACATGATGGGAAAGGTAACAAATGGGCAATAAAATCACAAAGCTTCAAAGGCGAACAGACAAAACATCAGTTCTTAAAATACTACATATACAACTCGAGATTGAGCAACACGAACCCCCCAATAATAAAACGGTGTTTAATCAAGGAATTATAGTTTGATATAAACACGGAATTGTATGGATTCTAAACGGAGTATAACGGGTGCGTCGTCAGGGTAAGCACTATATGTTTCTAGACTATATGAAAAATTAACAAGAGGTACTGTTTTTCTTTGGTATTAGTTTTAGCAATTGCATTGAGAATCCTGAAATGTATGATTTAAAATTGTTCATCAAAATCTGTTTTGCAAAACCAAAACAGGGTTCAACAAAATGAATATGTTCTTCTTCACGTGAAAAAACGCCGAGGCGAACTTGAGACAGTTCATGTCTCTTGATAGGATTGGTAAGGGTGTTCAGTTTTTCATATATTATCGTTCTGATATAAATAAGGATAATCAAGCAATATTCTCCATCACATGAAAAATAAATGTTTTTGACAACTTTGCAAAATAGAATTCATTCAAACAGAACAAATTATATTTCATGGTTGGTTTTATTGGTTTATGTATTTAAGTTTTTGATTGCATTGCATTATCGTAAGGTTGTTTTTTTCTTTGATGGTTAGTTCCTTCTTAAATCAATTTCGTGAGGTCACTGTCAGCTTACACCCCAACCCCCCAAAAAAATGAAAGTAGTGATGATACAAAGAAAAAAAGGCGGACATTCCAAAGGAAGAATCAAAACCAAGAAGTCTAAGAGAGATTGATTAAAACATGGCAACAAAATCGATACACAACGGAAAGACTGTCTAGAAAACACCACATAAAAACAAAAGATTTGGCAACACGAATTCCATAAAATCGGAGGGTTCCGATCTCAGGTGTTCCAGAAGGGTAAGCATGTGGCACTCATCATGCACCTCGTTGTAAGTACAAATTCAATGTTAAGTCTTATTCAATGATGTCATAATACAGCGGGAGTGTGGCGGGCTACGATAATTGGAACATATTCGCTGTAAAAAAGTATGTACATCATATGTAGTACTTAACTATGATTAAAGTAGTGCTTCTTCACCTGCCCGTCTAACTAAAGTATGAGGGGTGAAATAAGAAACCCTTAGTTAACATCAAATTAGGAAAAAACACAATCAATCAGATGTTTCTAATGATAATTATGTTCTGTCCGTTTCTTTTCGAACCCCAATAATGTCACGTTTAAGCAATCATTAACCAACCAAACATATATTTCCAAGAAACTTATTTAACAGTAACTGTAACAATAAACAATTACAAGTTCTTGAAAATGAAAGATAAAATTTTCTCTCCGACTTAGTTTTTTAACAGGAGTTTTTTATGCGAAATTACGCCATTAAAAAAATCCGTAAATCGCAGTTTGACATTTGTAGCTCTGGTTTCTTAATGAAGAGTTATCTTCAATTCTCGTTTTCTTCAACAACGAACTGCGCTACTGATGATAACAATTTACTTCACTAGTCCAGTATTCTAGTAAAAGGTTCCTGTTTGTCCATACCAATACTTCAATTCTCTTTGTATTTGAACAATGGGTGGCACTTACAAAAAAACGGTATCAGGTTTATTTTATAAGCTCTTAACTAAGAACCAGGCTTTGATTACTTTTAATTGCGAGAAACGCTTTTATGTATCATGCATCTTTTTTGTAGGTGAAGTAGTTTATAGTATTATTTGGGGATTTTTTTTAGGGCAACCGTGAGGTCATGTTTTCAAATGTAGCTATTGCTCAGTTTTGTTTTATGGGTTACATTTAAACAAGTAATTTTAATTGTAAATTTAGCATGTTATCTATGATGAGTTTCATCGATATCATTTCAGATGTGAATCCATGGTATTCTAAAAGAAAAACAAACAGATCAATTAAATCTGAAAAGCAATATCAATATATATATGGACACAACTGTGCAGCATTATGTAGCAATATGAATGGTGTTTTTGTTTTGTTGTTTGTATCAACATTGATTGTCTGGAAAGTGTCTGCACAATGTTCTGGTACTGCTGAAAATACGTCTGTCGGATACACAACAGTAAAAGTGTCTGCACCAGGATATCCATCGCCTGGCTATGCTGGGTATGTACTGTCCTCCCTTCATATATTGATATCAAAATCGAATTATTTAATTTTCTCAGAAACTTGTTTGATGGGCTCGAATCTTTTGCTGTTCAGGAATGATATACTAACATAGTAGAAAAATAGTTTAGTTTTTACACAAATCTGTGATCATATAAAACGATTTAAAAGATTCCTTCTTGTGTAATTTACTTTGAAAGCCTTGAAACAGACATAAATTTAATACATTCCTTTCCTTAGTCTTTCCTTTTTTTATTCCCCTTTCTATCTTTATCTTCACTTTTGTTTTCTCTCAATTCATAATTCTTCATATTTTGTTTCAATTTATATTCATGTATATTATAAGAAATCTCAGATGAAATACTGTTATAATAGTATTCAGAAAAAGAATTCATAAGTACGTTGTATCTTACCAATTTTGTTGTATTCAGCAAATACAATGTTTGAATTACTGTTCGTCCTATCTTTTGATATAAACAAGAGGCTCTCAAGAGCCTGAATCGCTCACCTGTAGTTTTTTATTTAAATTTTTCATCAAAGTTTTTCTTTTGCTTTTAAGTTTTTAATGTATAATTAATAAGTGTGGTCACACACCCGTGTGGATAGTATCTGAGAGTATTGCATGGCAATTAGGAAAGGTGAGCTAAAAACAATAAACGAAAAGCAAATATGAAACAAATGACAACCGCTAAAATTATTGGACTTTGAGTTGTGCAAGGAGGGATAAAATGTATGTACTGTATCCAAACCCTGTCTTTAACATGGGACTGTGGTGTTACAGCACAACATAAGAACAAACAAAACAATAGACTACCTGTATGTATCAGTGTGTTTATTTATTCCACATTAGCTAGAGGTACAACATTTATTGGTGATAGGTTTATATCTCATAAAACATGTATAACTTGCTGAAGTTTGTGCATGTCCTAATTCACGAAAATCTAGGTAGCTTTTGTTAGTCTTGTATGTGTTTTTTATCTTGGTTCATATCTGTTTTGAAGTGTAGTGACGTTTTTTTTTTGTACTAGTATACATTAATGAATAAGGCCCTGATCAAGCCTGCTTCTGCGTTTTGGATTATGGATTGTGTTGAAGGCCCATTGGTGGCCTTAAGCTATTTTCTGTTTTATTTTCAGGTTGTTGTCTCTTTGACACATTCCCAGTTTCCATTCTTTGTTTATTGTAATAAGTCAAAACTGGTACTATGCCAAACATATTGTTTCATGATAAACTTTTATGTACATGACCATAAACTTTTAACCTGGGAATGTACTGTGTTCAAAATATCACATTTTATGCTTAGTCAACTATGAAATTTGGGTCAAGAGTTTTATTAGGCTTACCAATTCATTCTTTGCAGCATCCATAATTTAGATGATTTTGTCAAGAGTTTTATCCCTTTTCGGTAGGTGTGACAATCAAAGATATCATGACTTTCCTCCGCTGCCTACGGATAAAGATCGAGTGATCCGAGCGACAAAGTGGAATCCCTTCGTAACCGTTGTAACATTTATGCAGAAGAATTAAACAATTTCCAAATATTTTATAAATATTTTATAAATAAAACTTCGAATAATTTCATACAGGTGCCAAATGTACAAATGAAGCCAAAAGGTGGGGCGTTTTACGATTTCCTTCGGAAAACTCTAATTTATGGTTTTGTTGGAAGAAAAATTCAGCTTTTTCCAAGTGTATACCGACTGACCAGGGAGATAACTTAGAGAAAAACTAGCAGTCTGCAAGTCAGGAATAAGAAATATCAAATCATTTGAATACATGTACATGATGTACAAGTTTTAAAATAAAGAGAGACAATATATAACTACTCATCATTAACTACATTGACAAAAAAATGTTAATCTGTTTCACACTGTTATGACTGTTGGACAGATGGATAGAGCAGATTGAAAACATCATGGTTCTCTTGTAAAACCAAACTCAGAACGAATTAACCCAAAAAATAAAACAAAAGAAAAACAGAATTTCAGATTCAGTTATTTGTAGATCTTACTTTGCTGAACATTTTTACTGTTTACAGTGTCTCCCTATTTATAATAATATTCAAGATAAATAACCAAAAACAGCAAACAATTTTTTTTATTTATCAAAACTGCATGTTACCCCTATGTTCTATTAAGCTACAGTGGCCATGTTTCTTGATGTACAAGAAAATAAAACACGTAATGCATACGAGTTACCCTAAGGTTCATTCAGCCCAAGTTTGGATGAATTTGCCTCAATAGTTTCAGAGAAGATTTTTGAAAGTAACAAACATGATGAACAAATTATGTAAAATTTCCTTTAAGGGCAAAAACTCCTTAAGGGGTCAATTGACAATTTTGATCATTTGACTTATTTGTATAATAATATTCAAGATAATAACCAAAACTGCAAAATTTCCTTTAAATTATCAATTCAGGGGCAATAACCTAAAAATCAGTTATCCAATTTGGCTGAAAATTTCAGGGCAGGTAGATCTTGTCCCAATGAACACTTTAACTCATTGTCAGATTTGCTCAAATACCTTGGTTTTAGAGATATAAGCCAAAAACCACTTTTCACTCCTATGTTCTATTTTTAGCCATGGCAGCCTTATTTTTTTTATGAAACATAATATAAAACACAAACTTTATACTAAATACCCTAAGAATCATTCAGCGTAAGTTTAGCTGACATTGCTTCAGTTGTTTCAGAAGAGAAGATTTTTTAAAGTTAACAATCATGATGAACAAATCGTGTAAAATTTCCCTTAAAGGGCAACAACTCCTTAATTGGGGAATTGACAATTTTGGACATTTGACTTATTTGTAGATCTTACTTTGCTGAACATTTTTACTGTTTACAGTGTATTTTTATCTATGATAATATTCAAGATAAATAACCAAAAACTGCCAAATTTCATTAAAATTATCAATTTAGGGGCAATAACCCAAAAATCGGTTGTTTGATTCGTCTGAAAATTTCAGGGCAGGTAGTTCTTGACCTAATGAACACTTTTACCATGTGTCAGATTTGCTCTAAATGCTTTAGTTTTTGAGATATAAGCCAAAAACTGCATTTTACCCCTATGTTCTATTTTTATCCATGGCGGCCATGTTTTTTGGCGAAACCGAAAATAAAACACAAACTTTATACTAGATACCCTAAGGATCATTCATCCTTGATTAAACACCGTTTTATGGTTCAGTAGTTTCAGAGGAGAAGATCTTTGGAATAGTTTACACCGAACGGACGACGACGGACGCCAAGTGATGGCAAAAGCTCACATTTCATTTAAGGCTGATATAATTTTAGTATGAGAATAAGGAGATGTGGTATGATTGCCGATGAGACAACTATCAACCAGAGACCAAATGGCTAGGATTCAAACAACTACAGGTCATCATAGGGCTACCAACAATAAGGAGATGTGGTATGATTGCCAATGAGAATACTATCAACCAGAGACCAAAGGGCTAGAATTCAAACAACTACATGTCATCGTATGGCCACCAACAATAAGGAGATGTGGTATGATTGCTAATGAGACAACTAGCAACCAGAGACCAAAGGGCTAGGATTCAAACAACTATATGTCATCGTAGGGCCACCAACAATAAGGATATGTGGTATGATTGCCGATGAGACCACTATCAACCAGAGACCAAAGGGTTAGGATTCAAACAACAACAAGTCATCGTGTGGTCGCCAACAATAAGCAAAGCACATGCCATACACAGCTACATGTGTAAGAGGGTCTGGATGGGGTTTACAAAATAGAGAATGACAGACCAGTGCTACAGAAAATGGACAAAAAAATAGAGAAAAACACGACAAAAAACTAAAGAATAGAGAAAAATAAGGTGCTAAAATATAAAGATTAGAGAATAATGGGGAATATACAAAGAATATAGAAAAATGACATAAAACTATTAAGAAATACAGAAACGAAGGAACATCCAGATCCTGTTTTGGTAATATAACTTTGAAGTTCTTCAAGTTTTATGTAACAGTGTAGGCAAAACAACTATTTTGTACCAGTCAGGTACTTTTGAATTATTACAGCTTGCAGTAAAATTATAATGAAAAAAGTACTATATATTTATTGTACCTTCTTAGTATCACACTATATTAATAAAATAATGGTACTTAAAATTTTTACTGTAAAATTATGGTGTTAAATAGTACAGTAATTTGGAAATACTATAATATCAGTGATATATCATTTATTTCGGAATGTTGGGTATTCAATTCTCTTCAACTTCAAACTTCATTTGGCCTTTATAACTTTTTCGATTCAAGCGTCACTGATGAGACTTTTGTAGACGAAACACGCTTCTGGCGTACACAATTCTAATCCTGGTATCTATGATGAGTTTATCAGGTCGATTTTCAGTATTATAAAATTAGGGTACTAATACTACAAAAGTGTAGGTGTAAAAGTAGTTGTGTATAGTAAGCTATAAAAAAGAAAGGTTAAACTACTTAAAGATAAGGAAGATAAAAATACTAGGAGAAATACTTAATAAAATGCAGGCACTAACACAATATATGTTCAATTATTTTTGAAAATAAGCTCCCATGAAGTTCTGAATACACTGCAGCCGCTTTTTATTTACAGAAATTTGAATTGTGCTTGGTTAGGATCATCCTTTATATCTGGAGCCGTCATTCTATTTAAAGTTACTGATATCACACTAAGTTGTGCAGGAGATGCCATTAATGTATATGATGGTAAGATATTTGCTTTTATACTTTTAAAACAAGTTCAGTATACAAACATTCTACATCAATCAGCATACAAATAACTGTGTTACGAAAATTCTTGGATATGATACTGGAAGGCATCACGGTCACTTTATGCTAACAAACGGCATCATGTGGTTAACCTGATAATGCTTTGTTGATATATAATTGCGTTATATATTTGGTTAAGTAAAGGTATTTTATTTTAGTAACTGTATTACTTTTTTTTTACAATAAGCCGTATGCTTGTTACAAAACAGTACGCAAATGAAATACATTTTCAACTAAATAGACAATTTTGACTAAAACCGATCGTAAACGACTGATCCATAAGTCTTCTTTTTGTCCATATGATACTAACGCATGGAATAATAATATAGACAAATGTAATAATGCCTACCTATGATTTAATGAGAACAGGGCAAGATTGTTTTCTCAATACATTTTCATGAACAAATATGGATTATAGGCATACTTTCTGGTTCCTGTAGCATCCTTTATTAAAATGTCATCGGGGTCGACAAAAATAAAGAATTAAAATTAACAACTGGCTTAATTGAGTGAAAGTTCGTTATCTATATTTGAAAATCTTAGTGAAATTCAAAATTTTGATTAATTTATCAACAACTCTTTCACTAATAAATGTACTTCTTATTCTATTTTCAAACGCAATTAATTTACCGCAAGACAAAAAAAAACATGTTCCTTGACATGTATATTTATCCAATAAATACAGAAATACCATTGTATGTTGAGAAGGCGAATACAATTTTTCCGTTTAGAATTTGGAAGAGTGTTGCGAAGTGGAACGTTTGAAATTGTTGTTCTAGTACAAACAATCTAAGTATCTTCCCTTTTGTAATAATATTAAACATTTCACCTCTCGACACTTCATACTAGTATTCCTCATTCTAAATAATCCAAAGTTTGGTGGATATGTTGAACGCATCTACCCCATTAGGTAATTATACTACAACAATCCTTTCAGCAATATTGACCTTGGACAGTAAAGGCCCTTTTGTTTTCAATTGTTTTAAATGTTTTGCTTTCCAAACTTTTAGTGCCGTGTGTACTAATATTGCAGAAAAAAAGTGTTCACACGCAGACCGGTATCACCTTTCTTATAGCCTTATAGCCCCCCTTTCCCCGTAACTTGTAGAGTATGGAGATTAAGAAATAGAATAACTCGAAGCATATTTTGGATTTCTTGTTCTATAAACGCGCCATGAATAACACAATTGCAAACGTTTGAAGTTTACTTCCGAATATGACAAAGGTGCTAGTGGAATATGCATAACCCGACATCAATTTTAATACCTTGTTTGGAACTTATTTTATTTATTTCCTATCAAATTTTTTTCCTTTATACAGGAATTTAAAATACGAAGTTCCTTCTTGGAGAAATCCAAACGAAGAAACTTGTATGATTTAAGATTTATTCTAAGTTTTTTCTAATCAAATGTTGTATTAATGGAGTTAATAGCGTGTTTCTTGCATTTAGTTATATAAAATCTTTGTTTCACGAATTTACTACAAAATAAATGTAGAGACATATGTCGAAAAGTGGAAACATTCTAAATTCTCAAAATGAATAAAAAAAATATTATCAGATATCCATTTTATAATTAAATCATAGACGATTTGTAATAATGATAATGTAAAAGAAATTATTGAAACAATGCATGCATAATATACTAAACTTAGTATTCTGTGTATGTTTTTTTTACATTTATTACAAATCCTTATCGTATAATCGACAAACAAATATTTTGATCGGTGATTGTTGTTCGAAAACTTTGGCTGTCAATTAACTTTCGGGTTTTGTTGCCGAAGTAATCCGATTGTGACCTTGATGAAAATCAACACAAAATCATGGATATTGAGCATGATGAAAACGTGTATAAGTGATATGGTTAAGCGATTTTTTCTAATTTTCAGTGTGTTCCCAAATTATCAATGAGCTATTGTTGAATTTGTTAATTCAACAACAAAAGCCCCATGAGTATGTAATTGAATGCTATTTAACTCCGCTATATTGTAATGTGCGTATTAAACGTGAAAATAATTAGTCAGTTTTTTTTATTGTTGAAAATTGTTTGTTCGTCGTGATATATGGAATGCTATGTTGAAATTGGATATTTGTCCATCTTTCTTTGAATTTGTTCCTTGTCTTGCTCTTTAAAGGCAATTACATGCGTATATACTATATGATATTATAAGTTGTGTACCTTAGGTCGTGAATGTTTACTTTTTTAATTTGTTTCAGAATTTTAACTTCTACAATATTTATTTGTTTTCTTCATATTTTCGTATTCTATTAGGAACATCAACTTCTGGGAGCCAAGAACACACAAATGAATGCAAATCGGGTTCTGGTCCAAGAACACTTGGTTATAAGACCGCTTCAACTGGAAATGTTTACACGACCTTTACATCAGACGCAACATCTTCAGCTTCAGAGCTCGGATTTCTTATGTATATGATCAGTGCTATTGACGTTTGTAAGTACACACACATACCTGTAACATGATTTTCCCTGGTTTTTTTTACAATTGTTTTGCTTGTTTGCATTCATATTAACTTATACCCAACAACTCCTTTTTCTCATTTAACTAGTATTGAATGAAAATAGGATTAACACCACTAGATTTGAAGAGGTCACAGTAAATTAGAAATGTGACAGTGGCAACTCTTCAATTACTGTTCTTAATTTGATAATACAACAGCTGATATTAGATTTTTTAGAATGAATTGCTTGTTTTAAATGCATGTAATACTGTCTGGTTTGCTTTCGGATATTGTACGGGATGCACGTCAGTTATATATTATCATAACAACAAGACACAATCGACGAAAATCTTATATAGAGGTCAACATACTTTAAACAATCAAAAGTTGTCTAGAGCATATGCCATATGACTCGTTTTAAACGGTATGGTCTAGTTCTGATTATCTGGAAATTGATTTGAGACATTGAGGTTATGGTAATTTCCAACTTTATGAGTTTCCTCTATTTCAAAGTCACTTATAGATTAACGCCATTGTGAATTTCCCTATTTATCTCAAACTAAAAACTGGTGTAAAAAAGTTGGCGGTTCCTAAATATATGTGCTAATATGTTTGTAAAATTTGAGAATTGTTTTGATGCTATATAGCATATCTACACTTTGATAAGTTAAAAGCTTTCAAAGATCTTTTAGAGTATATACAATCTAAGTCTCCTTCCTCTTGCAAGAGTAATAAAACATTCGTCTTCTCTACCCTTTACACTAGTATTCTAGTATTAACTTAAAGACAGATTGAAAGAAAGACTTTATTTCACTAAAGAGACTTACCAACATAGATCCACATATCTTGTTTTAGGAAGAAATCATACTTTGAAAAAAAACAACATTCTGAGTAAAAAAAAAATTATTAACAACATATTTTTGTTACGTTTGGATGATGTTTTATTCAACAAACGATCGGCATTTTTATGGGAATCAACGGTGCTCCTATTCTTGCCGACTTGCTCCTTTTATTCATATGACGAGACTTCATACAGAAGCTACAAAGGAAGAATAAAAAAAAGTTAGCATCATCATTTAACTTCACGTTCCGCCATATAGATGATGTCCTTTCACTAAATAATTAAAAGTTTGGGGACTATATTGAACGGATGTATCTCATCGAACTTCAAATAAAAGATTCAAAAGATACAATTAAGTCTGCTGCATATCATGACTTTCATCTAGACATTGACCCCGAGGTGTGTTATACGACAAGAAAAACCTTAAAATAGGCATTATCTGACTTGTATACCCTAAAAAATATCATTTTTCTGCAAAGATTTGCATCCTTTTTTACCGATCAAATAAAAATGGGATATTCTTTTGTGATGTATTCAGGACTAAATACGCCCTACGGCTCATTTATAATGTGAAATAAAACTCACTAATTAATTTAGATATAAAATTTTGAAATCATTACTCATTTACAATTAAAAAAATATTATTGCAACTGCATGAAGCAAGACACAAATGAATTGTTATGGTGTATGAAAAATACAACTCACTGTGTAAGTAAAAAGTAAAATAACAAATATACCGAACTCCAAGGAAAATTCAAAAGGGAAAGTCCCTTATCAAATGACAAAATCAAAAGCTCAAACACATCAAACGAATGGAAAACAACTGTTATATTACTGACTTGGTACAGGCATTACCTTATGTAGAAAATGGTGGATTAAATCTGGTTTTATAGCTAGCTAAACCTCTCACTTGTATGACAGTCATATAGCATTCCATTATATTGAGTCAGAATAATGTGTCCCGGTAAGGTGACATGTCTTCCTGCGGACTGTTACCTTGTGAACTAGCACGTTAAAAATCCGCCTCAGCGTGTCGGTCTAGAACAAAGCAAGGCTAAATTTCATATTACATTAACATGTTCTCGTCCTGAATATGCATATTAATTTGCCGCTGGACGTTAAGCAGCCATCCATCATCATTATATTGACAACAATGTGTGAGTAAAACAAACAGACATAATAGGTAAAAATGTCAAAAATTGGGTGTACAGCTGTCAACATTGTGTAATAATCTTAATCACTATAAAACAAATAACTATTTAAACAAAGAAAAACAAAATGGTATATAGACACTCTATAAGTACATAAGCAAAAATGAAAGACAAGTATACAAAAATGACCATAGCACAATAAAACAATGTATAAATACCTAGCTACGCCAAAAGTATATACCAAAAATGGACCAAACAGTAAAGGTTAAAAAATATACAAAGACAAAATAAAAAGAACACTATAACACGTGATTAAGATGATAAACAACGTCAGTACCTAGAATCTATACTCAAAGACCATCATGTATTATTTGTGAAGTATATACGGAATATTTATCAACACGATCTTGGTATTCTCCGATGAACTTTTTGAGTTTTTAGAAAAAAGGACGAGACGTCCTTTGACATAATCCTGGTTCATCAACTTTCTGCTCAGACACTGGTGACCTATTGTAAAGTTTGAGTAGCAGCTGTAAGCTCTTGAATACCGAACGAGTTGGATAATGTATATCCCGTATGCAGGTGAAGTTGGTATATGCTTCTAAGGTGAGGGGAAATTAATAATTTCAAAATTGAAATCGTCTCGTTTGTTATAGATTCTGGTACTGAGCTGACCTCTGATGTCAAATTCGAGGTATAAGTCTAAAAATGATGCAGAGGAAGCCGTGTCTGTTGTTTCTTTAATTTCTAGTTCTGGAGGATATATCAATGGAACCCAATCAGAAAAGTTTTGATTGTTAATGGAAAGAGTCAATATATCTGAATGTGAAATTAAATCATCTGGCTTCTTTGATCTTCTTGTTTTTGGTAAGTGTCTGAAGGAACTCCGACTCATATGAAAATAAGAAGAAAAACACAGTTATTTCCCACAGGAATACCGACAATTTGTTGAAAAAATCTGCCTCTAAATTCAACAAATATGTTGTGAATAAGAAACTCCAATTTATTGTACCAACTTAGTTTATGAAAGGGAGACGCTGTGTTTTTTCTTTTTTTTTCCATGACTTTTTTATCGCGGAAAAGCAGATTATTTTTTCAACAATTTGTTAAAACGAACTATTCAGAATACTTGTTTTCTCTCTTTTGTCTGGCAATACAATGTTTGTTTAATAAGCTCCCCCGCCATTATATAGTACGTGGCTGTTATTCTATAGAAAATGAGAATATTTGGTAATTTGATCATTTGATAGAGTAAAATGTATACATAAACGTAAACAGTTAAGAACTAGCAATTAGAGAGCACGAAATCGTGATGTACGTGCAACACGAAACACGAACATCAAAGTATGATTTCCAATACAATGTGAATCAATGAGATTTTAAAAGTCCTACACCTAAAATTTGGCTTGTTGTAAAAGTGGTATGAGAAGTCTTATTCTTATTCGTATTCGACATCTTGCTGAAATCTTTTATCTATCATAAATCTCTAACAACCATGCATCATTGTAAGTGTACATGAAGGTTAGACTTCATGTAAATTTAGATACAATCAAGAATACTGTTGTAAAAAGAACAATACAGGTCCTCTGATTCAACCAAAACAAAATTCAATCGACTGTTAAAATAGTCTTTCCACTAGAGATTCTCAAAAACATTCTTTGGACCAAAAATGAGCTACATTTTGGAAAGAAACATTCAAAGAAGTATTTTGTTCATTACCCAGAAATGTAAAAAACAAAATTATATCTATTTCATAATAAGATATTTTTTTTGTGCAAATGTTGCGTAGAGGATTTGGTATTGTATCTGGCAACTCTTTTAGAATAACTAAAGTGTATAATTTTGTTTGTTTAAGCTGGAACAGGGTGTACATCAGCACAAAGTTTGATTACAACAAGTACAGAGCAGTATTTATCAAGTCCAAATTTTCCAAGTAATTATCCACTGTACGTATCTAAAAATATTTTCGATTCCACTTTAGTCCTTTGTGTAAGATTATATTTACGTTGTTTTATGGTTCAGTTCTTCACGTCCATCGTTCTTCCGCAATATGCAGACGAGTTCTGTTGAAAAAGAAAATGGGATTTGGATGATTTAAGTTTATTTCATTATTAGTTAGTTGATGTAGTTCCATTATCAACCATATTAACAGGATTGCCATTAAACCATTTTTCTTGTCAGATTAGGAACACTGTATATCAAATGTATATAATATGTTTCATGTGATGTTTTCATTGCCAAAAATAACTGCCTGCATGAAGATATAGCAAGTTATCACAAATACTAGATATTTTTCGTAATGACAGGACAACGTTTGTGTGATCGGCTCGTAATCACGCATTGCAAATGCACTTTCGTCGGATACCATAGAAGTTTCCACTTCGTAGACGCCTTTTATTCATATACATTATATATTTACTTATTTTTTTCTTTATATGTTTTGAAATTTTGTTTTACATCCAAACCTTTAATTTTCAATACTGTCAGAGTTATGATAATGATAAGCATGATAATTTCCGGTGATGCATTATGAATAATCCTTTCATCATGACTAAGTTTACTATTTTGTTTTCGTATTTTCAGAAATACAGATTGCACATGGGATATCACAACAAAAAATACAAACGCCAATGTTATTTTGAAGATACTATTTATGGATATTGAATATGAACCATCATGCGGGTATGATTACATAACAATAACAGAATCGGGTATGTGTTTGATTTTTTTTTATATAAAAGAAACACAATGTTCGATAAAGAGAAGAGACAAAATAACATAACCAAGAAGTGCTTGGCAGTTAGCTAAACAAAAGCAAAACAGGAATCTTGTCTGACTTTGATCTCCACCTAAGTTGCATATTTATATGCAGAAAAATAATTATATTTCCGTCAACAGTCTAGTTGCCGATTCCGCAATTAACCATGTAATTAATAATAAATTTTGTTAATAGTTTCTCTTAGGAGGGACATACATTTTCATTGACAATGCTAAGGTAGCGGAAAGAGCCATTTACTTCTGTGAAATGTGTGTAATTTTTTGTTAAGCTAAACACTACTGATATCAATAGTTAGTTTTTATTTAAAAATTGGTGAGAACGCCATTATATCACTTATGGTTTGTATGGACATGTCATTTTGTCCGGTATAGAACCAGTCTATAATTGGCCAAGAGAAACAACCTATATTAAAAGTGTGTAAAAAACAGAATAAAATTAGTAATTGGCAAATAGCCTATTGAAAAAGGAAAATGCACTCTGTCCTTGTCATTTCTGGACAGATCGTTGTTTCTTCTTTAGTGAATACCTTGTACAATACACTTTATGATTACACAATTAAAATTATCAAATAATTTAACTAAAATAATATGTAATTTAAAGCACTGTATAAACTTTATATTCACGATGTGCTATTGCTTTATTACATGTTTTATTAATGTTAACTGCATTAAAAAATATGTGTAAGCATTGTTTCTTTTTAAAACAGTTAAAATACATGCCGTAACTTAGATCCCGATTAATATTCTGTAAGAAGACTTTTGTCAATTAGGGCGACTTTAGTTTACCGATGTTCAAATCTCGTATATCGATTAGGAAGAGACAACTCAATGAAACTGAGTTAATCGCAGGCACTCGAAAAGGAGCGAGATCAGGTGTGTCTACAGGATAAGCGTCTCCTGGTAAAAATGTAACATTCGGGAATAGAATCGGTAAGATTACAGATGAGACGACTTTTCTAGTATCTTTAGATCTAAAACCGCGAAACATGTCGCCAGTCAGTTGAGACAACGACACATCGTATCGGTCAACCAATTTGTGTAGTGTCGATTTTAGTCGTTCCTATGCATTACTCTGTTCAAGCAGTTTTTGTGTTAGGGGCACACCCCTGTCAGTAAATAGATATAGGAAAACGTGGTATGAGTGCCAATGAGACAACTCTCCATCCAAGTCAAAATTTATAAAAGTAAACCATTATAGGTGAAAGTGCGATCTTCAACACGGAGCCTTGGCTCACACCGAACAGCAAGCTATAAACGGTCCCAAAAATTACTAGTGTAAAACCATTCAAACGGGAAAACCAACGGTCTAATCTATATAAAAAACGAGAAACGAGAAACACTTGTGAACCACATAAACAAACGACAACTACTGAACATCAGATTCCTCCGTAAAGTGTGAACATGCACAACCGTTACGTATTAACTGAGACATATAAAGGCCGTACGATGGAGAAGAGTAAGAGTTTTAATTGTTGAAAATTTTAAAGCTCATGTAAAGTATTCTATCTGTAATCAAGTTGTATTTTTCTTAGTTTGTGGTAGAGGACGTTAAGCAACCAACAATCAGCCAATCTCAATTTGTGGTAGACTTCCACAGTTTTCAATAATAAAGGCTGACAGTTCTGCAAGTCCCTAGATTTGCTTGCCATAGCTGTTTTAATTTTGTTTTCCTTGATTATTATAATGAATAAATTACAGAACACACATATTATTCTAATACTTTTACTCATCAGTTTTAATTTTTTTCATTTGACATTAAAAAATTAGTATTGAAAATTAAATTAAAGTTATACAGAATGGTTTTATTCAAAGGTTTAGAATATACAAGTGGTATGATCTTTCAAATTATTGGTCCAAATTACAAAAATTCCAAAAGAAACAATGAACAATTCATGGACTGGTTATATGTATCAGTATTTTGTGTGTATTTTATACTACACGCCATTTAATTATTCATTCGTTGACCACCGAAGAATATAAACACTAATATAAAAATAAATAGATGGAAAAACACGAGCAATCGTATAATGACGATTTTTCTAGGTCTGTTGGATTTCATGTCATAGAATAAAAAATATGTAAATCATCTTCTTTCATGTATAAGAGAGGATTTTTTGTGGGCCGAATCAGCTAATGAAACGGTTTTCCTGCAGACTCCCTTGTTTCACCTTTCACTGTTGATGTTCTCTTCTTTTTAATTACTGTATATGCTGTACACATGCCTAATCCATTTCAAGCAAGGATCAAATGAAAGGTCGCATGAATACGAATTCAAATGAGGTTGAATTATTGACTTGCAGTCAATTATAGCGATGATTTTCAGCTTATTTTGACAAAACGTAATCAAATTGCCTGTTAATAAAGAAATATTATTTCAATATCACGCTTTTGTAAATGTTCGAAACCAAAAAACATTTTTTGTCTAAAGCATAGATAATGTCCCTTTAAAATTTATTTAAGATTGTTACTTTTTTATGTATGCAATAAAACAAATTTAATAATGGTGTTGTTACGGCCAGAAATCACTTTTAAATTGTAGCCAACAAAAGACACAAATCAATGATCAGATTTAACAAGATTTATTATACAATATTACAGAAGTATTATACAAATTGAAATGTCAACTTAACAGTTAAAATATATGTCCGATCCTTTGTCTTTTCTTTATCTGTAATTCTTCTCTTAACTGTACGGAATCCAATGTAATATAGATGGTCAATAAGTTCACAATCTAGTATGATGTAGTTCGTAAATAAAATGTCAATCCAACAACTCCAGAGATCTACTGAGAATCCAAGTATCCTAATGTCTAGTCTGTCTAATTTCGGTGTCTGTATATATAGTTGTCACGGTAACTTCTAGAACACTGTAGAAGGGAAACTCCTAGAAAATTGTAGAAGGGAAACTTCAAGAATACTCTAGAAGTTTAAATTACGCATCGTAGATTATGATCATTCCAGAATTTTTATGTAAGTCAAATAGAAAGTTCTAATCTTTCCATCAGTATCTGTGATTGTTCCAGTGATTTCTAAACTGCACAATTGTAACATTATTTTGTAAACCACTATAACCCAATTAAATAAACATTATAAGGCCATACAAAACAAATTAGGCCAAGATAAATAAATATGATAATTACAATATCATAACACCTCCCCCCTTAAAAAGAGTTTGAGTGTAACGAAAACTTTTCATGAACAATATATACAAAAATATATAGTACATATATGTATACAGTGTTTTAATAAGATCTAGATAAATCATCTGCTATTACATTATCTTTACCTTTAATATGTTTTACAATAACATCATATTCCTGTAACAATAAACTCCACCTAGTCAACCTCTGGTACTTGTTTCTCATTTTTTTGTATGAAGGTTAGATGATAGTGATCAGTATAAACAAGAATAGAATGCAAAGTGGGATTTAAATATACATCAAATGTTGAAGTGCAGAAAACAGTGCCAAACACTCTTTTTCAATAGGTGAATAATTTTTCTGATGTTTAGAAAAATATGATATAGGTTTCTCAACACTATTATCTGTTTCTTGATATAAAACGGCTTCAACTCCTACATTACTTGCATCAAAGGCAAGTTTGAATTGATTTTCAAAGTCTGGAGTGATCAGAACTGGACGGTTTATTAAAAGTGATTTACTATTTTCAAAAGCATTTTGACAATTATCACTCCAGATGAATTTAGAATCTTTCCGTAAAAGATGAGTCGAGGGTTGAACATCAGTAATAAAATTTGAACAGAATTTCCTGTAAAATCAAATCATGCCTAAATATCTCATAAGTTGTTTTTATGTGTAGGAGTAGGAAATTTGGTAATTGCATCCACTTTAGCCATAATAGGTTTTACTTGACCTTTGCCAACTGTATGCCCTAAATAATCAGCAATGGGCTCACAAAATTCACTTTTACCAAGATTAACAGTCAAATTTGATTGTGACAATCTATCAAATGTATCATATACATGTGTTAAATGCTCTTCCCAGCTATCACTACATACAATAAGATCATCAATATAAGCATAACAACAGTCTAAATCTTTTACAACATTATTGATCATTCTTTGAAATGTAGATGGAGCACTTTTCATACCAAACGGCATGACAGTATACTGAAATAAGCCGCCTTGTGTCACAAAAGCTGATATTTCACGAGCTCTCTGTGTCAAGGGTACCAGACAGTAACCTTTAAATAAATCAAATTTGCTCACAAATTTTGCTTGCCCAATGTTATCAATGCCGTCGTCTATCCTTGGAATCGAATGGGAATCAGATTTTGAAACTAAATTTACTTTTCTGAAATCAGTTACGAAACGAAAGATTTTATCTGGTTGGGCACAATGAGACAAGGAGAGCTCCATTCACTGTTACTCGGCTCAATAATATCATTGTCAAGCATATATTTAATTTCTTGTCTCATAAATTGAGTTTTAGTGGATTGAGCCGGTAAGGATGTTGCTTAATTGGAGAAGCTTCGCCTACATTAACATCATGACAAACAGCAGTGGTTTTGTTTGGCACATCTGGAAAAATATTTTTTAAAAGAAAATACCAAAGTTTTCAATTTATCTCTACGATCAAAAGTCAGATGTGCAAGTTTTCAGTCTAAATTTGACAAAATTTCTGAATTTTTCAATCTAACTGTTTGCTCCATAGTCTTGCAATCAAAAGGTGGTTCAATTGTATCTGGTTTGTCGGACCGCAAATATTAGAAAGTGAACACCATCATCCCAGTCCCTGTCAAATTGAAGACAAAAATTTCTAATCATGTTCTTCAATGTATGATGAAAATGTTCTAAGGCACCTTGAGATTCTGGATGATAAGCACTTGACCTATACTGAACAATTCCTAACTGGTAAATGACATAGTGAAATAAACCTGACATGAAATTTGAACCCTGGTCGGACTGTATAGACGTGAAAAATTTTATAAGAACTTTGACAATAGTTGGTGTCTTGATATTCTTTAACGGAATAGCCTCAGGAAAGCGAGTGGATGTACACATGATCGTCAATAAATACGCATTTCCAGTCTTGGTCTTTGGTAAAGGTCCAACGGAATCAATTAGTACTCGACTGAAAGGTTCTTCAAAGGCTTGAATTGGCAGAAGTGGTGCTGGTGGTATTTTTTGGTTAGGCTTACCAACAACCTGGCATATATGGCATGATTTGCAGTATTCTGCGACATCATTTCTAAGTCTGGGCCAGTAGAAATGTTGTAAGATCTTAAGGCAAGTCTTCCTTATACTTAAATGTCCGGCCAAGGGGGTTTCATGGGCAAGACCAATAATTTCTTGCCTTTAGACTTTAGGCATCACCACTTGGTATTCCACTCTCCATTCCTCCTCTGAGATAGCATCAGGTGACCTCCATTTCCCCATTAAAATGCCGTCTTGATGGTAGTAGCATTCGGCCACTTTGTCTGCTTCCTCCTCCTGTGGTTGAGCCCTCTTGCGGAGCAGAAGAACTTCAGGGTCTTTAATTTGTTTTTCCACAAACTTTCTTTTGTCTAATGAATGGCTGTTCACATCTGGCCATGGCATAATTACATGCTTGTTTGTACTAGGTGGTTTTATCATGGCCTTGTCTGTTCTACAGGAACCTTCAATGTCGGCAAGAAAAGTGTCTGAAAGGTCTATATAATCATACTGGTCTTCTTGAAAATCCTCATTTTGCTGTTTTCTGCTACGCCCTAGTAATAACACAAGCTGGATACAGTTCAGCATCATCTTCGGGTGATTTAACATCCACCACCTGTTCACTGGTAACAATTGGTTCAGCAACAACTTTGTTTCTAGTTAGATCATTTCCTAGCAATAATGAAACACCCTCAACAGGGAGATTAGGACAAACACCCACAACAACTGGTCCAGTAATTAAATCTGACTTCAAATGAATACGATGGAGGGGAACATCTATACAACCTAACTCCACACCGTGTAACAAAACGGAGGCACCAAAGGAAATCTCCTCGGACAAAGGCAACACAACCTCCAACAACAAAGTCTGAGAAGCTCCAGTGTCCCGTAAAATCTTAATAGGCTGAGGAGTAGTATTATCAACAATAGAAACAAACATAAAGACATAAAGGGTTTATAATCCTCCATGTAATCACAAAAACTGGATTGACTCTTATTATGTGCAACAGGCTTACTATCAGTACGCTCAGTACTTTGATTTTTGTAATTTTCGCTCGAAGTATTAAAATTTGACCTTTGAAACTTCTTTTATGTGAAAGTGTATAATTATCGGAAATAACAGCTGCATCTTGCAATGTCTCAACAGTTTTGTCATCTCAATGTGTTTTTAAGTCTAAATGAACACACTGCTTGAACACTTCTAATAACATTAACTGTCTTATTTTATCAAAATTGTTATCTATTTTCTTCGACGTAAGCCATTTATCAAATAGATCTTCTTTTTTCCCTAGCAAATTCAACATAGGTTTGTGATTCAAACTTTTTATAAGACCTAAATTTCTGTCTATATGCTTCTGGCACTAGCTCATAAGCTTTCAAAACTTCCTGTTTTACAGTGTCATAATCAACACTTTTTTCTGAAGAAAGTGCTAAGTAAATTTCAGCGGCCTTGCCCTTAAAAACACTTTGCAGCATTGTAGTCCAATAAGGCTTTGGCAATTTCAAATTTTAGTCAATGTTTCTCAAACTGTGGAAAATATTTATCAACTGGTTTTTTTTTCAGAAAATCTGGGAACCAAACGTATATTTTTTGCTGCTTCAAAATGTTCTGATTTTGACTCATATTTAGTGTTGTTTTCTACTTTGACCATTTCTATTTTTATTTTCTAGATCTCTAACCTTTCCTTCATTTCAAGTTCTGCCTGTCTTTCTTCTTTTTCTTTTTCCAATTGTTTTAATTTAAATTCATGGTCTAATTCAAGCTGTTTTAATTTGATACAATCAACATTTTCGACCTTAAGTTCAAGAGCCTCTTCACCAAAAAAGTCTGCGTCAACTAATTTTTCTATTACCAAATTTTTTATTATAATTTGTTTTCTCATAGATACTCTAAAATCAATTTTTAGATGTTTAGCAAGCAACACTTATTCCTCTTTCTTTAAATTATCAAACCCTTCCAGGTCTGGCGTTTAAAAAAAATTACTAGCATCAAATGCCATTTTGTTGAATTTTGTTGGATAATTCTAATTCAATAAATATAAAAAAAAACTTTTAATCTGATATTAACGTTATCCCGCACGAGTCCCCAATTTCTGTTACAGCGAGAAATTACCTTTAAATTGTAGCCAACAAAAGACACAAATCAATAATAAAATTTAACAAGATTTATTATACAATTTTACAAGAAGTATTATACAAATTGAAATGTCAACTTAACTGTTAAAATATATGTCCGATCCTTTGTCTTTCCTTTATCCGGAATTCTTCTCTTAACTGTACGGAATCCAATGTAATATATATGTCCAATAAGTTCACAATCTAGTATGATGTCGTTCGTAAATAAAAATGTCAATCCAACAACTCCAGAGATCTACTGAGAATCCAAGTATCTTTATGTCTAGTCTGTCTAATTTCGGTGTCTGTATATATGGTTGTCACGGAAACTTCTAGAACACTGAAGAAGGGAAACTCCTAGAAAATTGTAGAAGGGAAACTTCAAGAATACTCTAGAAGTTTAAATTACGCATCGTAGATTATGATCATTCCGGAATTTTTATGTAAGTCAAATAGAAAGTTCTAATCGTTCCATCAGTATCTATGATTGTTCAAGTGATTTCTAAACTGCACAATTGTAACATTATTTTGTAAACCACTATAACCCAATTAAATAAACATTATAAGGCAACACAAAACAAATTAGGGCAAGATAAATAAACATGATAATTACAATATCATAACAGTGTTCACATAGGCAGACGCTATGATGGTCGTTAATATTTGGTTAAACTGTCACAATTTTGTTTAACTTAGGATCAACAACAACAAAACACTGCACGGAAGATGTATGGGAACCTACGTACACATATACTAGTTCAGGAAACTATTTTCATATTGAATTCAAGTCTGATAATGCCAGTCCAAAGAGAGGATTTTTGTTATCATATGTTCAAACAGGTATGCTTTTCATTATTAGATTAATTGATATATTTTAAGGCTGGTGGACGTTTCGTCCCCGAGGGTATCACCAATACTAAGGATTTTCTTATCCCAGGCATATATTACCTTAGCCGTATTTGGCACAACTTTTTGGAATTTTGGGTCCTCAATGCTCTTCAACTTTATACTTGTTTGGCTTTCTAACTATTTTGATCTGAGCGTTACTGATGAGTCTTATGTAGACAAAACGCGCGTCTGGCGTATCAAATTATAAGCCTGGTACCTTTGATAACTATTAAGGAGCATGAAGAGTGTCGACAATGCAGTAACTATGCGTGTGATGCACTTAAAAATGAAAGCTTTAAAGATAATTCCGTAAAATGTTATATCCATATTTCTTTCTGCATATAACCAAAATATAGGTATTGCCATAGGTGTCATATGTCGATACTCCATCCCGCCGTTTTGATGACATATCCTCAGCAAATTACCTTTAAGTATATGAAAGGGTACGCTGTTTCTGCAAAATAATGATTTATATGTGTTTTATTCCCAGGTTGTTTCTCATTGACAGAATAATAAAGTAGAAGTGTATACTTACCATGTATAAACGCTTTAATAAATCATATTTAAGTACTAGCAGCTATTTAAACTCAACACTTAACAAGAAATCAGGACTTATATATAGTGAAAATAATTCAAAGTTATGACCAGAATGCAATTTTGAACTCAGATGTATTGTCAACTCTAGGTCATGATAGGCCAAAGAGTCGATGGGTAAAGGTCTGATAATTAACGATTATCAAGTTTTCTGCATATTGATACGATAGAATATAGTGTTAAAACATGCTTCATACTGAATCGAGCACTTTTATTTTTCAATATCAATTTAATGAAAATCTGATAATTAGTTTATTGGATTTCATCACATACTGGGAGAAAATTTGTTACAAATTGCACATATGTCATACAGCCGTAATTAGCAGTCAATATCACAGTACCCTGGATTATAAGCTTTCATGACGTCCTCCTCGGGTTGAATATCCTTTATCAGGGGCCTCTTGTTGTCTGAATTGAGTCCTATATCCGATCGTGTCAAATATTATGACGTCGGTGATAAGTTTGGATCAAGGGTATTTATACCGAAACAAGCATATTTGACATCAAAAGCATTGATATGAAATTTTATAAAGAGCTGGGCATATTGTAGACTGATTAGTACCGTGTAGACTGATTAGTACCGATTATCAGATTTTCTGCGTATTGATACATTTAAATATAAGTTGTGTGTCACAATTCTGAATCTTTTTGTCCAGTGAGCGCAGTAAACAAGTTGAAAAAAGGTCCTACATTTTAGCGGCGGTAGCATACTTGTCGAAATCTGAATATGACGTAAATGTCATAAGATTATTACGTAAAAAATTATTTACTGTAAATAATAAGACATATATCTAACTTTGCAAGGTTGTGATTTTCATTTTTCTATTTTAACTGGTTCAGATACTTCAACAGCTCAGTCATCTGGACAATCGGATGGGGATTCAGCAGTTGGACTAGTATGTGGAGTAGTTGCAGCATCGTTACTAGGGGCTACTGCAATAGTGGTTGCTATTGTTTTATACAAGAAATACACAATAAAGCAAAAAATTAATGATAGTAAAATAGGTCATAAGGAGTCATCCCATGGTCGTTATGATGATAATAAAAATGTTTCGTATACTGATAGCATAATTTTTGCCTTACCAGAATGTAATAAAGTTATGCCCCAAAAAGCAGTTTTCTCAGAAAAATTCCTATAACTTTTCTCAGGTTATAAAAGTATATCTACTACTAAACAGATTGTTTTATATTGATCTGCAATGTTATAATATGAGCAAATATTTGATTTCCTATTTCTGCCTTTTTATGGTTATTAGTGCAATTACGCATTTGATTTTTGACAAATTTATGCGTTTTATGATAATAATAAATCTTTTGGTTTTAAACAAATTATTGTTACTTTTTATTGAACAATATATTAATAAACTTGGTTTGTTTACATACATAGACATTTAAGTTACATTATAGCTTCCTAAATGTATATTAGTGCTACATGTATGCCATAATTTTTAGTTTATGTTTTCTTTATCTTGTAGAATATACTCTGTATTATCATGATTATTATTTATATAATAATATATTTCTTATTTATAAATGTAGTTTCTATATAATCAGTCTGTTTAGTAGTATCTTATACTTTATCTTTTCCTCACTCTGTTTCGTAAGTTCATACCTGTATTAACCTGTCGTTATAGTTTCATTTATTGTTCCTAAACAACAATACTGAACTTATCCCAACAAGCCAGTCTAGATGTGTATATAATGTTGTTCATTTAGACAAGTATCTTATAGTCACTTAGATCGGAAAATAGAATAGAAAATGCATGAAGTTCATAAATATCAAAGTACTGATGCCCCTCATTTTATTTAGATAAAGTACAAATTAATGCTTTTTGTGATGTACCCGTTCTTTTCTGAATCTTTATCAAACTCAGTCGTGGCTCAATCCAAATAACATATGTGCAACAAGAAGGAGGTTGTTGACTCTGTACTAGTATATTCCGTTCCCTATTTACGAGCAAAATTTATCAAGGTAACTCAATGTCTTTACTATTGAACAGAAAGATAGAACTGATATTCATGTCGAAAAGGACAAAAAATGATTTTTTTGCGAATCAATTGCATAAGAATATGTAATGAAGATATTAAAAGTGATTTTACAGACATAAGAGTTGTAATTTCGAGTATTAAACATTTTTTTTTATGTTTGTTTAAAAATGTTTAAAATCGTCTGGTATTGAATGGGATAACAAACAATTCTAATTTTCAATTTCTGTACACGCAGTTCTACATCGGATTTGACGGAATGTATGTTTTTTTATTAAACGTAATCTACAAAAAAAAGTTCTAATAATTATAATTTCATCGATTGTATGGTCACGTGATATGTTGAATTAGTTACTTTTAATAGGATGGATAAAAACGTTGAGACAAAATAATGTTGCATATATAAAAATAAGAAGACGTGTAATAAATGTTAATGTGACAACTCTCCGCCAAAGACCAAATGACAGAAGTTAACCACTATATGTCACCATACGGCTTTCAACAGAGGCCATCCAATGAGGATTTGAATAAAACACTTGTTACACATTTCGATACATAAAATGAAACACTTTTCACAAAACTTTAAAGGAATTTGTTTGAAATATTCTTTCTATCAGCACACACAACAGTTTCATTTTAGAGAATAATAAATATTCAGAGCTAATATCATTAAATAATCGAAAAATACATTTACACATTTGGATTTTTATTGTAAAAACTTTAAGTCGATGGGGTTAATTCACAAAATATCTTAAGAGAAAAAATACTCCCAAATTGTGATCTTTTAAGAGAAACCTACCATTTATTCAATGCATAGGATTTGTTTGTGAAAAGAGTTCCGAACGATGAAAAACAAATCATTTTTTTAACTGGATATTTTTACGTGGATCATCGTTTGAATCATTAAGTCATACAGAGAACTCATATGATTAGTTTGCCTTGGATATTCCAGTACTACACAACTCAATTCCCTTATTTATGTATATATCTATATGTATATCTAATTAATTTAAAGATTTTTCTGTTTGTATAATGCTTTTGTGTAAAGGGGAAACTGCTACGCGTGTGTGTGATCCTTTTTGTCTCTTTGACCAAAGATAGTTAGTCATAAACTAAATTGCAGTACTCGTCGATATATCATTCTTGTATCTCACGAATTTGGGTCTTTTACTTACAAAACTTTATTTTCTTGTAACGTATTTTATTGTTGAAGAATGAATGTTGCCCGTTTTTTTTATTTTTTTTGGTCGTTTGTTTGTATCTCATAGACATACAACCGGATCCCCTTTTCTTCATATTTAAAAACATACGAGATGACATCAATACCAATTCATGACACAAAATAACTGAGCTAAACTAACAGCAGAAGAAAGAAAAGGAAAAGCGCTGTCATGGTGTACTCAATCTTGAAGTCACAATGTGGTCTTTGAAAAAAATGTTGTAAATAAAAAAGGACGAAATTGATATATAAACTGTGTGTGTATGTCAGTTGGGCCGGGTTTTTTTTAAATGAATTGATTCTAAAAAAAAATTGGAAAGGAAAAAAAAAGGAATAAGAAAACTAATTGATTTACATTCAAAGTTAGGGACGAAAAAAATACGACACTAAGATTAAAAAAGTAATGTTCATATATGTGCATGAGGGAAAAAAACCAATCCCCCCAAAAAAAGAATACAACACACACACACACTCAGAAAAGGAAAAATAGTCGGTGCATAATCATTCTGCTACCAAGGGTTTTTCACAAGTATAGTAGTTAGCAGAAAAGTTCCAGTTCCCCAAAATACACCAAACTTTACATCTTACCGACTAGTATTTCGTGAAGTAAAATGCAAATTTCATAAGGCTGGTTCCAAATAGCTTTTTACTGTCCAATATCTTGCAAGTACGAAAAAGACCGTTCGAAAGTATATTTTGTCTATGTTTTGTAATTGCACAACTATTGAAAGTTGATCATGCATTCTTTCTAAAATAAAATTTTACACAAGATAAACGTTAAAAGATACTAAGTGAAAAAATTAGACAACCGCAATAGGTTAATCGCTTTGACGTCCGAAAAAGATAATAGCCAACAAATACGTTGTAACTTTTAAAGCTAGTTAAATTAATTTTTATGCTTAAAGAACGCGCTATATCATAAAAATTGTTTATCAAAACATAGCAAAAATACAAGTAAAGAACGTTTATGTATTCAATATTAATCAAAACACAAAGGTTATTCCTGTATTAGTTTTTCGAATTATTTGATTTAGGCGTTGAGAACCTTTGGTGACCTCACAGTTTGAATGTCTATAACAAATACGACGTGATAAGTGGACGTCACAGACGAACGTTCACCTAATTTAACCCAGTCAATTGGAGACTTGAGCGCGCCAAAAAATGGTCTCGTCCACACTGTTATGAAAACGAAACTATATCTTGGAATATATTTTAAACGCAATTTTTTGTTTATTTTTATATCAAACAAGAGGCTAAAGTAGCTTATTGATCTGCAAGACTCGTAAATCCGTTTTGACAACAAAAGAAAAAAACAAATCTAGGAATCTTAGATTCTTATATATTTTTATCACACGGTGGGTATCGCTTTTGGAGGATGGATTGTTGACCTCGCTTCTGTGTTTTGAGTGTTTTGTAGATTTTGTCTTTTTTCATGATTTCTATCCTTCTTGTACTAATGTTTAGATATTCTTCTTAATATTATGGAATGGTGTAGTCTGCCGGTGTACGATAATTAAAATTGCTTTAACCTTGAATATCACTGAAGATGGCATCTGCTATCAACAACCCAGTAGCTCCGTACTGGCATGAAACAACGGGTATTTGGTTATCAGAATGTGTTGTACGTCTTAGAAAATCATTTTAAATTAAGAAATGTATCTCCATTATGCTTAGCTCTGGTTTCTTGTCGAGTTAGACTATACTTTTTTGTTCTTTTTTGTTATTTAGAAATTTTTAATTGATGTTTATATGAGTGTTTCATGTTCTGTCCGACTCGGCTTCTGTCAATTCCATTATTTATTTAGGTGGACGATACACATTTTATTACTAGATTTATGATGTCTGTGATAGAGACGGCAATGTTTTCTTAACCGTCTCATGAACTTGGTGCACGTGTTAATTTTACAATCTTTGTCAGGCTTATTCAGTCAGTTGCATTTATTAGTTAGTAGCAGTAGCAGTGCAAAAATTCAAATCAATTTCACAACTTTTCACAACTTCCTAAAATGCCGCCAGTTCGTAAAAAGCGTGTTTCCAGTTAAAAAAGTAAGAAAAGTGACACACCAGTTGTATAGAATTCTAATAATACGGAATTGACATTTGACAAAGTTAAAGAAAAACTAAGGAAGCAAGGCATCAGGGCTCCATCAACTTTCACCAAAGAGAACACAGGACAGGATAATGCAGTTATGTCCGAAATTTCAGCATTAATTCAATTTACCACCAGTTTAAACAACATGGAGCAAACTGTTCAAAATCAAGGAACTTTAATTCAGTCGCTTTTAGTTCGAGAATCAAATAGCATTAGTCAACCTGCAATCGTTAGTGATATGAGTAATGATGTACATCATCATACAGGATCTTATTACAGCGTCAAGGTTTCCTCAGGAATGTTTCCGCATGTTCAAGCAGTGGCGCCGAACGTTCGGAAGCAGATATTAGAAGGCAAGTACATTAATCTGGCTACTCTACTTAACAATCAAGAAAACGTACAAGATTATAAAACTGTTGATGAATCTGACGGGTCCGTTCTGTTAATCAAACATCGCGATCCTCGCCTTCAAAGAAACTTGTCTATTCAAGAATTTCTAGAAGCTTTCAATATTTACAAAAATATTATTTGTGAAAAGCAAGACCGACGCATCGAATTCGATATGTATATTCAAGATGTCATTGATATCTCTGCAAGATATAAAGGTCCCGTTTTCTACGAGTATCACAAGGCTTTCGCAAATAAGGTAGCTGATATCAAACTGACCCACGGTAAAGTTGTAGATTGGTCCATCAGAGACGAAAAACTCTATTCATCCATCAAATGTGGACAAATTATTAAAGAATGTGAAACATGCGGT